TTCCTACTAGTAGCAAGAAGCTACTAGGTTGGAGGCCATCGCTACTAAGCTGGAGAGAAGCTACTAGGTTGGAGGCCATCGCTACTAGGCTGGAGGCCATTCCTACTAGTAGCAAGAAGCTACTAGGTTGCAGGCCATCGCTACTAGGCTGGAGGCCATTCCTACTAGTAGCAAAAAAGATACTAGGTTGGAGACCATCGCTACTAGGCTGGAGGCCATTCCTACTAGTAGCAAGAAGCTACTAGGTTCGACGCCATCGCTACTAGGCTGGAGGCCTTTCCCACTAGTAGCAAGAAGTTTTTAGGTTGGAGGCTCTTGGATGGACGGCGCCTCATTTGCGCACGCAAGATTCGCTCAGCGGCGCACGCAGCATTGCATGATAAACTTAACTCGCCTGCGCACACAGGGTTCGCTCAGCTGCGCTCACATCGATTACATTCTTTTTTAAACAGTGCATGTTACCTCAAACTCAGCTGCGCACACAGATTTCGCTCACCTGCGCACACACAAATTGAGTTCATGTGATGTGTGCACGAGATATCATTCTTTCATGATATGTCGTTGGGTCAGGTTTCCACAGACACGCTTGTGTTAATAACGTTCCTCTGGACATTCATCTACATGATGACCTCTTTTTGCTCATTGCTTCCACAGTACCATGTCACACAGATGCTCTCAAGCATTGATTGATGATGTTGGGTTGGGATGGGGGGTTGGGGAGGTGGGGGGGGTGTTAATAACGTCCCTCTGGACATTCATCTACATGATGATCTCTTTTTGCTCACTGCTTCCACAGTACCATATGACACAGATGCTCTGCATCCTTCATTCTCTCATTTCATTTCATTTCATTTCATTTCATTCCTTCATTCATTTTATTCTTTTCATTCATTCATTCATTCATTCATTCAGTCATTCATTCAGTCAGCCGAGCAAAGTGGCGTGTACAGCCGAGGAGCCCGTGCACAACCGAGCAAATCCAAGCACGTGTACAGACGAGCAAATTCCGCGTGCACAGCCGAGGCTCCGCCCTCACTACTACGCTGAAGGCCATTCCTACTAGTAGCAAGAAGCTACTAGGTTGGAGGCCATTCCTACTAGTAGCAAGAAGCTACTAGGTTGGAGGCCATCGCTACTAGGCTGGAGACCATTCCTACTAGTAGCAAGAAGCT